CGGGGGGGGGGGGGGCGGGGCAGGGCGGGGCCCACGCACCGGGCAGCACGGTCAGGAAGGCGCTGCGAAAGCTGTAGCCCATGGTGTTGGCACCCAGGCAGATGTACATGCCCGCGTCGTCCTGGCGCGCGCGTGTGATGAGCAGCTTGTTGAGGTAGGAGCCGTCGGGCCGCGACCACACGTCACCCGTGGGCAGCACCACGAACTTCTGGCCGCCCACGTCGATGGTGGAGTTGTAGCGGCCCTCGGCGCCATACTCCACGCGCTTCAGCCACTGGATCACGGGCTTCACGTCGCTGCGCACTTTGCACTGGAAGGATGTCGTGCCTCCGAAGTCCACCGTCGTGTTCACGGGGTGCGTGCCCGTGAGGACGGGCTTGGAGCGCGTCCGCTCTGCGCAGGGACATGCGTTGGGCACAGCCCCCGGGCGCCAGCCCAGCCCCACCCCCGGCCCCGGCACTCACGGATCACATCCACCTTGTAGGTGGCGTTGATGGCACCCGCGCGGTTCGACACGCGGCACGTGTACTTGCCGCTGTCCTCGGGCCGCAGGTTCTTCAGGCTCAGGGTCCATTTCTTCCTGTGCTCGCCAGCCTCCAGGCGCGTCAAGGCCTGGTCATCCTTCATCCACATGATGTCGGGCCGTGGGTGCCCACTGGCCACGCACTTGAGCCGCACGGAGCTGCCCACGGGCCGCGCAATCACCCGGCGCCTCATCTTGGAGGGCTGCGTGAAGCGGGGCCGGGCTGCGCGGGGTGCAGGGGAGCGGGCGGGGCATAGAAGTCAGCGGGCACTGGGGTGGAGGCGCAGCCCCACCCCCCGACCAAGATGGTGACGTCTGCCCCTGTGCTCACCCCACTGCTTGCTGGCTGGGTCCTCCTGGCCCCCGGAAGAGCCGTCGTGCCCCGGGCTCTCCCTTCCTGGACTGGTGTCGTCTGCAGAGGGGAGGGTGCATGAGAGGGGCCTCGGCAGCCCCTGTAAGACCCCAGGACTGGCTCCCGGGCCCCGGCCTCAGGCCCAGCTGGGAAAGCTCTAGAAATGCCAGCAGGAGGCCATGGGTGCACACCCACATCTCAGAATCCCAGAGACAGCTGGGCCGGAGCCGCCCACCCGGCGCACTCCCTGGGTGCAGGTGACCCCGACGGGCGTGGGTGGGACGGAGATCTGGCTCCCCCACCCTGGCTCCGGGGGGTCTGCAGGGCCGGGGGGTGGGGGGGAGGTGGCGACCAGGCCCAGCCGGCAGCTGCAGTAACCCTAGCCCACATCAAGGGGCCGAGGGCTTGGTGAGCTGACATGGCTCGCATACCGCCTGGTCGTCCTGCCCTTTGAAAGGACGCTGGGGGGGACACCCACAGTATTCCCATTCCACGGCCCAGAGAAGGCCTGTGGGGCCTGAGGCGGGGCGGCGTGCTGAGGAATGCCCCCCCTCCCAGTGACAGCCGCCGCCTCCACAGCCCAGGACCAAGGCCTGGCGCTCGGACCCCACCCCGGAACCCAGTGGAGGGGTGCATGGGTCAGGCTCCTCCTTTGTGCTGCCAGGGAGCCTGCCCCGAGGGACCCGCCCGGGAGCCCATGGGGGAGGGCCAGGCGCCAGAGTCTGGTACCAGCGAGTGGAGGGCGTGCTGCTGGGGGCGCCGCCCAGTCCCCAAGCCCGGGCCCCAGAGGCAGGAGAACAGAAGACCCTTCCTTCCCAGCGGCCCCTCTGAACTCCGAAACCTGAGCCTCAAAATCATGGCCGACGCCAAGACTGCCGGCCCGCCTGCCCCACCAGGCTGCCCTTCAGTGGGACCACCACCTGGGGCCCCCATACCCACCCCTGCCGCCCCCCACCCAGCCAGTCCTGGCCCCCAGGTCAGCAGAACTTTGGGGGAGAAGGGGTCGGGAGGAAGGGGGACCCCAAGGTGAGGCCTGATGGGGCGGGGCCCGGCCTGGGGGTGGTGTCCTGGGCTCAGAGGCCGGGAGGGGAGCAGGGCGGCTCTGGTCCTGGGGGCAGTAGGCCGAGCTCATGCAGGGTGAGGGGTGGGCACACAGGGAGGGTCTGCTTCCCCGCCCGAGCTGACGAGGTGCGCACAGCAAGGCCCCGCCCTGGCACGGCCAGCACTGACCCATCACGACAAGCGTGTAGTTGACGCTGAGGCTGCCGAAACCGTTGGTGGCCTTGCACACGTAGGCGCCGGCGTCCTCCCGTTCCACCTCCTTCACCTTCAGCCCCTGCGGCAGCACGCGGAAGCGGCTCCAGCCGCCGTGGATTGTCCGGCCGTCCTTGGTCCACATGGTCAGTGGCGGCGGGTCCCCCTCCACGGGGCACTGCAGCCGCACAGTGCGGCCCAGCCGGGCCACCTGCCGCGGGACTACCTTGTCCGCCATCCTCGGGGGGCCTGTGGGGGTCAGAGGGCTCACTCAGGGAGGAGGGGACCGGCAGGGGGTCGGTCATGGCCAAGGCAGGCATGGGCACTGGGAGCTGGGGGAGGGCTGTCCCTGCTGGGCCCCCACCCCGGGACTCCACCCAGATACGCCTACCCAGCTCCCAGACCACAGGAGGCGGCGTTCACCCAGGGCCCACTGCGCTCCCGCACGGGAGCCGGAATGCGGCTCACCCAGGACGCACGTCCACAGGCGAGCGAGGGCGGCCCCCACCGCCTCCCGGCAGGCACCCCGTTTGTTTGTGTGTGCACGTGCGAGCGTCCCTGCGTCTGGTGGCCCATGTCTGTGCCTGTGTGTGCATGGGCTGCATCAAACCAGGTCTGCCTCCCTGGACAAGAGCCTCCCTGCTGCCAGCCAGGCCACACCAGGTCACCAAGGCCCTGGGGTCAGAGGGCAAGCAGATGGGCGTCCCAGCCCTGGGTGACCACTAGCTGCCATGGGGAAAGCCTGAGTCCCGGGCTGAGGCCGTGGTGCCCTTCACCAGCGGGAAGAAACCCATCCCCGTCCCCACCGGCCCGGGGCCACCCAGCCCCGTTTTCTCTGGAGTCAAGTCCAGGGACAATGGGGATGACCAGGCCTAGAAGGCACGAGAGACGGGCCAGCTGGGAAGGACGCTGCGGACATCAGAAGGCTATGGAGCTATCTCCTGGTGGACCCTCAGTCCCCTCCCGCCGCGCCCCGTGCCTGACGCCCTGAGCTGGGGCTGGTCTGCAGCCCCTACACCACGGGAAGACCGTGAGGGGGGGGAGGGCTCTTACGTGGTCACCCACAGCCCCTCCAGACCAGGAGAGGCAGCCGCGGGCACCCAGCTGCCCTTCCCAGGGGCTTGGCTGGGCCTGGCTCCCAGGACTCCGCCCACCAGCCACTGGAAGGGGCACCCACCCCACACGGCAGCCACTCCAGGCCCTGACGGCCGCGTCCCGAGCCCTGGCCACACGGAGGTGCCGGAGGCGCGGCTGCTCTGAGACGCTGTCGCTCCAGGGCCCGAGAGCGGCGTGCGTGTGTGTTTAATAACCAGCTGATTCTGCTGCCGCCTTGCAACCAAAGTGCTCCTGTGGGTCCCCCAGAGACTGTAGCTCCCAGGGACTCTCACAGAGCATGGGCCCCCATCGCCTCTGCCTGGGGTGCGGAGGGAGGGTAGGGGGCCCAGGGCTCAGCTTCTCTGGGGCCCCAGGTGGGGAGGGGGTCCCGAGTCTCTGATTCCAGGGGACTGGGGTGTGAGGGACACAGAGACATTAGGCACCTTCCCTCTACACCCCCCCCCCACATCCTGCCCCATTCGGGTGGCCCCACCCCCTCCATGCAGCCCCTAGACAGTGGGCCATGCCAGAGGTGCCAGCCAGCCCTCTGGCTTCCCCTGATACCCACCTCTCCCTAATCACTCACTTGTCTCCAGGGCCCCCCAGGCACCTACCCAGCTCACAGTGGGAGAGGATTCAGGGCCCCCAGACAAGTGGACCTTCTGAGGCCCCCCAGGGTCCGGGCCTCATTCCCAGGCAGACCCTGTCCACCACCTGTCACTGCCTGAAATTCCACCATTCACAGGGGCCTCCCAGGCTGCAGGACAAGAGGGCACCCCCCAGCCCTTCCCGGGCTGACACCTGGGTGCAAGGATCACACACACACAAGTACAGGCACACGGACCCACACATGTCCACACAGACACACGCGATGGCCCGGAAAGCATGTGGGGAGGACGGTGCCCGCACGAGGAACAGCATCCCTCCCTGCTGGGGCTCTGCCTGGCCCAGCGGCATCGTGGGGGCACCACTGGCGGCTGGTTCAACACCCCCGACCCCCGAAGGAGCCCACCTCAGTGGCAGAGAAAGCGCCAGGCTGACAGTGCGGCCCCTCCCTCTCCCCACCCGCCAGAGAAGACCTTGCTGGGGGGCACCTACTGGGTGGTAGGGACGCCACCCTCGGTCCTGCGCAGTGGAGGGACAGGTCCAAGTGACCGCCAGATGGGCCGTAAGTGTGGCCCCGTGGGCCTGCCTGTGAGCAGTGAGGGGGACGAGGCAGCGCCCGTCCAGAGGCCCCAGCTGGAGCCAGCCTTGTCCTAAAGCAAACAGCCCCCCTCCCCTCTGTGGCCAGCCTCACCCCTCCCCACCCCCACCTGGGCTCCAGGGGACCCAGACACGAGGCCGGGGCCCTGCCCCCCACCCCAGCCTCTGCAAGAGACCCCCCAGCAGGCTCACCAGCGGGAGGCCTGGCACCCCAGATTCCTGGGAATTTTGGCCGCCAGCACGGCTGCTGCAGCTCTATATTTAGCCTGGGAAACACAAGCCCTGTTGTTCCACCTGGACAAGGCCTCCCACCCCTCAGCCACGGGGAAACTGAGGCCTCAGCTGGAGACCCGCAGGCCCGTGGAGGGCGTGTGGGCGGGGGCAGCCGACACAGCCTTAGCGCCTTCCCCATGAGCACCTCCTCCAGGAAGCCCCAACCCTGCACCCACCCGCAGTCACGGCCCTAGGAAGCTGTGGGCACAAGCAGGATGCACATGACGCAGGCAGGGCAGACGTGGGGCAAAGGCAGGCTGGGGCCGGGTCTCACCCCAAGACGGGGGCTGAACGTCAAGGTAACGGGCAGGGAAGGTGTCGCCCCTTCCCTCCTCCGTCCTCCTCCACCCTCAGCTGTGAAAACATGGTCAGGAATGGGGGTACTGGGGGGGATGGGGGGCAGCTGCTCCGAGGGCCCCACAAACCCAGCTTGGATTCCCAGCCACCATCCAGAGCTGCTGTCACACACAGACCCTGTCACACCGACCCCCAGATGCACACCCCAACAGTGGATGCAGACTCCCTGCCGCACACACCCCACCTCTGAGCGCTTGAGACGCCCAGGACCACAGCCCCTCCCCCTGCCTGGCCAGAAGCACCACTTTCCCCCGTTTAGTACAACAAGACCCGGCTGCAACCCCAGCTGATACCCCTCCTGCCCCAGGGCCCAGGGAGGCAAAGGTGCTGGCAGGGACAGCGAAGGGACCCCCAGCTGTGGCCCACCCCATGCCCACCCCCCCCTACCCCCAAGCCATCTTCACAAGCCCTCGGGGCCGCCCCCAAACTCCGCCACCCCCTCTGAGCGCTTGAGACGCCCAGGACCACAGCCCCTCCCCCTGCCTGGCCAGAAGCACCACTTTCCCCCGTTTAGTACAACAAGACCCGGCTGCAACCCCAGCTGATACCCCTCCTGCCCCAGGGCCCAGGGAGGCAAAGGTGCTGGCAGGGACAGCGAAGGGACCCCCAGCTGTGGCCCACCCCATGCCCACCCCCCCGTACCCCCAAGCCATCTTCACAGGCCCTCGGGGCCGCCCCGAAGCTCAGCACCCCACACCTCACCGCCCCGCGGCCTCCACGCAGCCTGGCGCACCTTCCCGACACCCCCTCCTCCCTCCCCGCCCCCAGGGGCACGGTGGCCTGCCCTGGCAGGGGTGAGAGGGTTCTCAAGTATCGGGCTGCACCCCTCCCCACCGCCCGGGGTGTTCTGTGGGCCCTGGCTTGCCGACCCCAAGCTCCCTTCAAGAGGGGCCAGGCCAGACGTCGCCCCTCTTCCAGGGCCCATGCGTCAGAGACCAGCAGGGGCCACAGAGGCACCGGTGGTCTCAGCCATCACCCTGTGAAGCCGCAAACACAGCTGAGGTTGAGGGTGCACGAAGCACTGGCCGGCTCATCAGGCAGCTCTGTCCCCCACAAGCCCTGCGAAGCCCCAGAAATTTCCAGCCTGGAAGGAATTCTCTGGAAGGGGGCGGGGGAGGTGGGGGGAGCATCGGGCTAACCAGCATGGGCCTGGCCATGGGGTGAGGGCAGCCAGCCAGGAGCCACCGTCCTGCTGTGCAGGACAAGCTAAGTGAGCGGCGTGGGGAGGGGCGCTGGGCCCTGGCTGGGGGGCCGGAAGGCGGCAGGTCCACCCGGCCTGCCTGTGCACCTGGCGCCAGGCAGGGCAGGTAGGCACTCTCTGGGGGGAGTGGGTGCCCAAGGTGTCCCTCACAGTGGGGACCGGGCGCAGCAGGGTGAGCTGGGAAGGCCGCAGGGCCAGCACCCTCCCCAAGAAGGCGAGGCCTGGGGGGAAGGACAGGAACACCCCAGGGCGGGGGCACAGGTGAGGCCCACCCTAGGGCTGCCACGAGGGGGGCAGGCTCGGCACACGTGCACACCCGCACTCGCCCACAGGCTCCCGGTCACCAGCCGGCCCAGGGCGGCCCCGGGGGCTGGACCCACGGGATCTGTGGTGGAACTGGTAGGACCCGCAGGACAGGTGGTTGCCCCAGAAACCAGGCCATTCTGGGCGTGGCAAAGGGACGGCCTGACCCACCGAGCGGGCCGCCGGGAGCGTCCCCTCCACCGGCTGCCCAGCCGCGCACCAGGGGGCGGGCAGACCGGGGGCCTCCAGGTCTGTCCTCTTCTCTGGAGGCCCCCATATGGACCTCCAGTGGCCCCCCAGCTTCAGGGCTCCTCCGCCTAACCCTCACCACCCCCAGGACCGACAAGTGAGGCCCAGAGCATCACCCTGACAGGGCCACTTCCCTGGGGGGGACCCATGTGAGCTGCCTACGGGACAGCGACCAGAAAGCACCCAGACTCACCGCCCGGGCCTCCCCAAGGGACTCAGCTGGACACCGGGCAGCCCCGTCGGGTGTCCAGATCTCACTAGGCTCACCAGACTCAACGCTGTCTCACCCTGACCCTGCCCACCCCGCCATCCACCCCCACCTCACCAACGTCACTTGACCCAGACCCTCTCCCAGCTGCCAAAGGACCGAGAAGGCCCTTGTCCAGTGAGGCCTCCCACACCTGCCGGCACCGGACCCAGAGCACAGGGTAACGCGCCGCGGGGCCCAGACCACCCCAGGGGCCCCGCCCCAGGGGGCCCCGATCCAGGTACCGGAGTCACCTCGGAGGGGAGACGAGGACATTTTCCTGAGCCTGGAGCCCCTGGGCGTTTAAGCAGAACCTCGAGGGTGAGGGCGATGGCTATGGCAGCAGAAGACCCAACGCACCCAGCAGCCTGGCCTGCGCGACCGCAGGCCAGAGTCCCTGCCTCCCACCCATACCTGCTCCACGACAGCCCACGCCCATGGTGGGCTTCTTGAGGTGAGGACTGAGGCCATGGGGCCTGAGCAGGCCAGCCCAGACTAGGCGCCCCCAGGCCCCCAGAGGCCACGGGGCAGGCCACCTGGCCTTCAAGGCGCACACGCTGTGTCGGGCTGAGCTCCAGAGTCAGCCCCAGTCCCCGCCGGAATCCGGATAGGCTGCCGCACGAGTGCAGAGGGCAGCCCTGAAGCCACTGGCAGTGGCCCTGGACCAGGAGAGCGCGCTCCGCAGGCCCCGGCTCCTCCGGGGCTCAGGATCATGGGAGCCAGAGGGGGTCCCTCCGCCCCGCCTGCTGCCCCAGGCCCCGTTATTCACTCCTCAGCCACTCAACAGCGCACAGCTTGTGTAAATCTCTCATGAAATAAACTCTCCGGCAGGAAGAAAAGCAATTGTGTTTCCTGCCAAGATGGGAAACCCTGGATTTCAGCAGCCCTTAGGCTGCAGCAACTCCTGAACTGCTTGGGGAGAGCTCCTAGAAACCCCACCCTGAGCCAGTTCCCCTCAAGGGGGCCAGTCTGCGCTGGATGCTGGGGTAGGCGCCTACCCCACCCCCTGCCTGCCTCCAGACCCCGCCCCCAGCCACTCAGTGGGGGCACAGGGTGTGGATGGAGGCCCCGGGACTCCTCGCCGGAGCCAGGAAGGCTGGCTGGTGGAAAAGCCCCCAGAACACCCCCTCAGCTGACCAGCCTCTTGGCCCAGCCGTTCCCCACTCAAGGCCCCTACCCCACTACACCAAGGCGCCCGCGTCCACTGGATGTCCACTCTGGCCCCGGTGAGCTGCCCACCTCTGCCCACAACATCCCCCCAGCTGGAGACCTGTCCTTGCCTACCCTGACCAGCACCCACCTCTCCTTCCAGGCCCCGGGGTGACGCCCACGCCTCTGCGTTCCACCTCCCTCCAGTGGACCCCGGGCTGCGACCCCACCTGAGGTAGACCAGGTGGCCCCTGCTCTCCTGGGCCCCGAGAGAAGCAAGGCTGGGCCTGACCAGGAACGCCTGGTGGCCACCACTAGGAAGAGGGGGGGGTGGGCCGGGTGGGGGGGGCCAAC